ACTACACAATGGACAAATCTTAAATATATAAATGAATACCTTGGTGTGTTAACAAATAATGATTTTTGATTATTCTAATAAAGCAAATTGACTTATTTTATCTGAAGTCTAAAACAATTATAAAGCTTGAGGGAAACAAACATGCCTTAAGGAAAAGAAACAAAAATGAGGAATAATCAATTTATACAATCTATCTTCAGAAACACTTTCAGTTATGTCTTTGTGTAAATCTAGTGTTTAAAAGGTCCCTTGTTGACATTCTGACAGCAGTCCTTAACCCATATCCTGGGAATAAGACAATGTTCTTCAGCAGTCATATACATACTTTCTCAGAACCAGCCTTTGTTCACTTTCCAGTCTGATCTAGCATTAAGTAAATTTGATGTCAGATATGTCAAAGTGTTCTGCTATATCTGCAAGTGACATTGCGATTTATGTCCAAAGGGTAAGGGGGGAAAGAAAAAAACAAACAAACAAACAACAACAACAAAAAAAAAAAAAACTCAGAGAAAGATTTGACAAAAAGCAAGATTTTTAATATTTTCCTTTGTAAATCATTTCACATTCCATCCTAATCCAACAACACTGATACGAAGTAATCTCAAAGTACAGACATGATAGTTGTCCTGTAATACTGGGATAAAAGTCCTAAGACAAGATGAAGAGCTTTAGTGTTTAAGTGGGCAGCGCTGAGCTTTAGGAGGAAGTCAGTATGGCAATATTAGCCTCACTTTCATCTGATATTTCTTGGAAGGAGAAAAGGGAAAAGGGAGACTCTGGAGGTTCACCAAAGCCTTTAGCTTTACTTAAACAAAACTCTTTAATAGATATGCTCAAGAATGAATGATACTTTCTTCTTTTCTCCCTTTATCTTTTTTTAAGATCTAAAGATTTTGCAAAGCATGTCTAATACCTAGATGTGCAAAAGATGAAAATATGGGTCCTTCAATTTCTCTCTTTTTCATGGTTTGTGCTTCTTTCTTTCTCTGCTCAACTTGAGACACCCAAAGATTTTCCTTATGCAAAAGAAGGGCTTATAAATTGCAGTCTGGTGTTCCAACTATAAGTAGGTGTGTTGCTTTAAAGGATAAAAACATGTTTGCTGCAATCTTAACTCTGTCCACCCTCTCCCTGCTTTTAAACCCCTTTTTCTTACATGCCCATATTGCTGATGCATTTATTGTTTTCCACATGCATAGCTCTGCAGAGCAGATAGTGTTTTGTGTCTCCTTCAGTGTTACAACAGTTCTTATCCTTTTAAAAATAGCATTAAGGATTAATTCTATGTCACTGAAAATGAAATAACCTGATGAAATAATTGTCAATAAACTCTTCAGCCCAAAATTATTAACTATAGAATATGTAAATAGTAGTCTGTTTATGGGGTTAAAAATATTAATTAATACTCGCTGTTACAGTTTTCTAATACAAAAAAAAAAAAAAAGATGTGCTATTCATACTCATTCAAATATGAAAAGCCTGGCAAAACCAAATTATTTCATTAATAGTGTTAACAGCAGTTCCGAATAATTTGTTGAATACAGAAACGTACCATTCCTTTTTACTTTCATAGCATGCCAATTTTCAACAAAACCTTGCATATTTCATTTCCTCTCACTTCTGTGCACATTTTTTTTTTTTTTTTAATAACTGAACATATTTTGTATAGTTAATCAAAATACCTATTGATAGGAGTGGAAAAAAAACCTGCTTCATTTATGTAACAAACACGTATGTCTGGGGTGTGTGGTTTTACACTCACTCTGCATGAAAGTGCCTGACCTGACAAACTGTGCACAGTGTTTCAATTCCCTCAACACACCTAATCTCTGAATCAGTTTGATGCGATTTCTCTTAGGTACAAGTGCAATGCAAAAGAATCACTTCTTGCAGTCAAACAGCTATTAGGTAAACTAAATGTTCCCTCTTTTTTTGTATTTCAGACACATCTAATTACAGTATTACAATACTTGTAACAAGTTAACTTATTTTTATTTGGTTAAATCTTCATGGTAATGAATTTGCTTGTGAGGAGATGGCAAATAATCATGACAACGATTGCAGAAACACCTTCATTTTAATATTTGACATGAAAAGTGCCTGCTGCAGGTAAGTGATGCTGCAGGTAAGTTAAGCAGTGCCTGCTGCAGGTAAGTGATGCTTTATACAAACACAGACTTACATGCCAACTGTTGCAGAATGGCTCCAAGAGCAAGGCCATGGATCCTTGGAGGCCTTGTGCAAGCAAAGCAAAGTGTAGGCCTCACATGTATGTGACTTTAGCTGAAGGACACACTGTCCTTGAGCTCTGGGGAAAGTACCGAGGAACTGAGTTGAGGTTGATGTAATGAGGAAGATCCTTGAAACCAGAAACCGTATGTGGGAGGAGCATGAAACCGTTTAGAACTAACCAATGCTGTTATGACTAGTAGGCATAATTAACACTATGAGGATATAAGCGATATGTAACACGAATAAAGCGGAAGCTTGCTTATCACTCGTATTGGGTTGTCATGTCTTGCTTCTCCTCGCCATTGGCAGCCAACCACTCTTGTTTGCTTGTTAATGCATGAGGATAACTGCCTGCTTGCATTTTCTTGTGTGGTATTTTGTTTAGTGCCAGGATTCCTCTCTGTGGGCCTTCTCATTAAGTCTTTTCTTAAGGAAGATTTCCTCCTCATGTGTGGCTCTGGAGTGCTATGAAGATCTTGATAGAAGAACTCCTATGTCTTTTGGTCAGATGAATTATGTTGCAGTAGACTTCAGTTTAGTAAAACTTCCATTTAACTGCAGGCATATAAGTAGTTTCTTAGGGACCTACAGCATAAAGAATACCAATTTTCACCCTTTTAAGAGTATATCTAAGAGCATCGTGAGTCAGTTGGAGTTGGTTAGATCATATCAGAAAAATAAAAGAGTCTTGATTGGATATTTTTCCCCCAGATGGTTCCATATGTAAATTGTTAAAGTTCTTGAAAAAAGTTTTTAAAAAAATAACTTTAAAAGTTAAGGATTTAATTGTTCAAGCATACAGGACCAGAAATGGAACCTGAGAGGAAAAAATTTGCAATGAAATAAAAAGCAAGAGAACAAACATCGAGGAATGAGAGAAATAAGAGGTGGAGCAACAAACACACCTTCATGAACCTGGTCCATAGGCAGTGGTTGCAATCAGGGAATAAAGAAAAATAGTGGTATATATACAGAGACAATAATTTAATGAGAAGACACACAAAAATATCATTTTCCTGATTACCACAGTGTGCCATGTTACAACTTTTTAATAATATGCAAATAAGTCAGAATGAGAAGATGATCTATGAAAAAGTAGTGTGAGAGTCTGAGGAAACTGTGATCTCATGAAGAGTGGAACTCCTAGGATTTTTATATGGGAAGGAAAAAACAGAATCTTTCAAGCTTTTTTTGTCAATGACTTGAAACTCAGAAGTCAGAGATGTAACTGTAGTATTTTGACATCAGAGATCAGAAGGTGATCCAAAGACCCATGGTGACAGAGGAGACCAATGAAACATGGGAGCTTAAACTTAGAACTATCAGGATGTGTCAAGTTATCAAAAATAACTCAAGACAGAAAGCTGAGAAGGCAAATCAGAGGTAGATATAGGAAAGCTGCTGATCAGTGAGAGAAGAAACCATCAACCAGTAAATACTTAGAGGAGACTTCAGGAAAAACTGCAAGAGAATGCAGAGAAAAGACATGAAAAGAAAGGGCATGAACTGTGGCAACTCACATAGACCCAGGCAAAGACCAAAGTCTGGAAACATCAACATCCACAAGACATAAAAACATTTTTACAATGACCTGCAATCAAGAAAAGTACAAGCAAAAAAGTGGAGCTGCGCAAAGAGCAAAAGTGAAGTTTTACACAGGTACAATATCTAAAAAACAGAAAACAGTAAATAGTTTCACAAGTCACTAGTGAAGGTCTAATGAATTACAACAACTCTTGTGCTAAGCCATCACTGTACATGAAAATGTTTGAAAAAAAAAGGAATTCACAACACTAAGTTATCAATGGGAGAGCAAACATTTACTTAGGAATATTAACTTGCTAAAATGGATAAGTATGATTAGTTAGGTTTATTTAGGTTCATTATAGTCGTAAAAAAAGCCCCAACACTAAAACTGCATTTAAAATACACTAGGACTTTATAAGTTGCTATAAAAGAAGAAATGTACATAGAGATGCAAATTAGTAATTTCTAATTAAAAATTAAAAATGCTAAATGTGTGGAACCTCAAGAAATTTTGTAGACAGGAAAATACCCCATGATGGTTCACCAGAATGTTTTGGGCCACGGTTTTAAACAGCTATCTTTAAATAAAAATATTCACATTTAATGATCAAGGCCATATTGCCCCAAAATTGTATTACATCAAAAATAGAAGTATTCTTATATTTAAAATTATCATAGAATCATAGAATAATAGAATCGTTAGGGTTGGAAAGGACCTTAAGATCATCTAGCTCCAACCCCCCTGCCGTGGGCAGGGACACCTTATGCTAAACGTCCAACCTGGCCTTGAACACTGCCAGGGATGGAGCATTCACAACCTCCCTGGGCAACCTACTCTAGTGCCTCACCACCCTAACAGGAAAGAATTTCCTCCTTATATCCAATCTAAACTTCCCCTGTTTAAGTTTTAACCCGTTACCCCTTGTCCTGTCACTACAGTCCCTAATGAAGAGTCTCTCTCCAGCATCCCTATAGGCCCCCTTCAGATACTGGAAGGCTGCTAGGAGGTCTCCACGCAGCCTTCTCTTCCCCAGGCTGAACAGCTCCAACTTCCTCAGCCTGTCTTCATACAGGAGGTGCTCCAGTCCCCTGATCATCCTCGTGGCCCTTCTCTGGACTTGTTCCAACAGTTCCATGTCCTTTTTATGTTGAGGACACCAGAACTGCACACAATACTCCAAGTGAGGTCTCACAAGAGCAGAGTAAAGGGGCAGGATCACCTCCTTTGACCTGCTGGTCACGCTCCTTTTGATGCAGCCCAGGATACGGTTGGCTTTCTGGGCTGCAAGCACACACTGCCGGCTCATGTTCATTTCTCATTGACCAGCACCCCCAAGTCCTTCTCCGCAGGGCTGCTCTGAATCTCTTCTCAGATAAGGCGTACTGTCCAGTATTATTCTTCTAAAGTGAGCTTTCTAATTTCTTTTTATGCAAAAGTCTACTGTGTAACTAACATGCAAAATATAAATTACACCACAAATTGCAAACAAGAAAGTTTCTCTTTGCATACCTCATGAATCCAAAAGAACAGTGTGAGACATTAGAGTCAATTATTATTTCATAAATTTGAAATAGCTTTTTGAAGGTTTTTAAGAGTATGAAGAGTTGAGAGAAGTCAAGGATTAATTTGAGATTCAAGGTAGTATAGAAAGAACAAAACAAGTGGAAAAAGACAGGCTAGCTCTATGCAGCAGTAACAGTCTAAAAGCGCTATTGTAGAACAAGGAAAAGCCATTGATTATGTGTGACTCGACAGGATCAAATATCTTTCAAAATGTTCACTTTCACATATTATATTGGAGAAATGCTGAAGTTCTGCAGTATTTCAGCCAAGTTAAGAGCACTGCCACCATCAAAGGTCACAAATTAAAATTATTTTAGAGCAAGGAATCATCCACTTCTGAAGCTCATAGCACTGCTGGGTATCCAACCCTCTTTCTGACACAAACAATTTTTTTCCCTTTCTGTAATTTTAATTTGTAAGGTCATAGTTTCAAGGCTTCACTGTAACAGAAAATTTCAGGAGGAGAATGTGAATAAACCTCTTGAGAATTTAAGTTTCCTTGCTCTGCTATATAAATTTTAGTGGTCATGAAAATGTGATAAATGGAAGTAGCTAAACCCAAGTCTTATGTGAGTGTCCTTTACAATTCTGCCAAAAGACATCAGTGCTGGCCAATAACTATTTTTCTCTAGTGTAATAATGAATTCAACACTCCCCATGAAGCCACTCATACAGTACACTGTTTTTTCTAAGACCAAGTGGAAGCTACTTGGAGATCTTTAATCCTATTTCATGAGAAAACTAACTATGCATTGAGTCCTGACAATCTAAGGAAGTGAAAGCTAATATATTGAGCCAATACATCATTCTAATATGCAGAGTACCGGTTTATGATAATTACTTTTGCATCTGCATTTAGAGTACCACATGTAATTACTGAAGTGTATAGTTTTCTCTCAGCAATGGCATATAATTTTCAATAGTAGTCTTGGCAGTCATGCACATGCATTACAAGACCTCTAAGTAATCTGTAGCCCCTTGTAATTAAATGCAAAAAGAATTAAAGCCAGTAGAACATAGTGAATAATTCACAACCGGTAACTTTCCTGATGAATTTAACCTATTTTGATGTACCAAACCAACCAGATATTCTATCATTTCTTATCTATTTATTTATACTCATTTAATTCTTCTTTCTTCAGCCCTTTTACAACTTTTTGCAAAATATTTCCAAATTGCTATTGGAACAACAATCATAGAATCATAGAATCATAGAATAGTTAGGGTTGGAAAGGACCATAAGATCACCTAGTTGAACCCCCCTGCCATGGGCAGGGATACCTCACACTAAACCATGTCACCCAACGCTCTGTTCATCCTGGCCTTGAACTCTGCCAGGGACGGAGCATCCACAACTTCCTTGGGCAGCCCATTTCAGTGCCTCACCACCCTCACAGTAAAGCATTTCTTCCTTATATCCAATCTAAACTTCCCCTGTTTAAGTTTGAACCTGTTACCCCTTGTCCTATTACTACAGTCCCTAACGAATAATCCCTCCCCAGCATCCTTATAGGCCACCTTCAGATGATTGCTTACATAAATTTTCTCTAAAATTTTATATTAGGGATTTGATAAAAGATTGTGAAACTTCAAAATTTGAGGGCTTTCTCTGTAAGAAGCCACCTGTTTGAAAAAATCTTTCTGCAATTAAAGAGGAAACCACTTCATTCAGAATCTCTGTATCTGTCCTGGCTTTGGCTGGCATAGAGTTAGTTTTCTTCTTAGCATCTGGTGCTGTGTTTTGGCTTTAGTCTGAGAATAATGCTGATAATACAACTAATGTTTTAGCTGTTGCCAAGGAGTGCTTACCCTGAGCAAGGGGTTTTCAATCTCTCATGCTCTGCCAGTGAGGAGGGGCACAAGAAGAAACAGATCTCAAGAGATAACTGTGCTGGAGACTGAAGTGAGCCTGTGAATGAGTGGCAAAAGCACACCACTGTGACTGGCCCAGATGTTCTGTGCATCCTTGGCATAAACTTATCTCAGAGGAAGGAATTTCAAGGACTTAAAGATTATTTTTTTTGACATGGCTGTCTTGGAGATGGAGAAAACTATGCATCTGTCTGCCTGTTCTCTCAGAGGACCATTTTGTTGTGAGGCTGCTGAAGGCTGAAGAACAGTATTTGCTGATTGCTACTACAACGGTGCACTAGTAGCAGTATTGCAACAGAGACTCCCTAATTCCCATCCATAAGCTGATACATTGACTGGAAAGCCAAGGAATGATCAGCAGGGCCTAATCACCCTTTAATAGTCCCATAAGGCCAGTACAAAAGTCTGATGGAGAGTGGAAACTAACAGTAGACTATTGTGGCCTGAATGAAGTCACACAGCCATTGAGTACTGCCGTACCAAACACGCAAAGAACTTCAGTATGACCTGGAGTCAAAGGCAGCCAAGTGGTATGCCACGACTGATATTCCCAGTGCATTTTTCTCACTCCCTTTGGCAGCAGAGTGCAGGCCACAGTTCACTTGTATTTGGATGGGCACACAACAGTACCTTAAATCAGATTTCACTAAAATTACTTGGAAAGCACAACTTCCATCCAGCAAGAAAGTCTCATAGTTTAAAATTCGAATGGTATACAAATGGAAGGAGTCTCCTAGGTTTGTGAATCACTTCTCTTGAGGTTACCATATTGTTTCTTTTATAACTTCCCTAAAAATTTTCTCTAAAATTTTATATTAGGGATTTGATAAAAGATTGTGAAAGGTTACCATATTGTTTCTTTTATAACTTCCCTATCGCCTTCTTAAACACCAGCTACATTACTTTCCCCACAACAATTTCCTCACAAATATCTTTCCACAGGTTCAGCATGCAAACACATTTGCTCTCCTTTCAATTAAGTATTTTACTCAAATAGGTCTTCTCTTTCTTTGATGATCATACACCTGAGGCATTTAGAGACATCAGTAATTATTCTTTTAGAATTTACTTTGTTATGTTTAAATAAAGAAAAAAGCCTGCCCTCCTCATTGCATCTGGAAGATCAATCTTTATCTAATTGGCTGTTTCCCTGTGTGTATCATATCCCTTTTCTGTACTTCTTTTACTCTGAATTCATTTTTTTTAATTAAATATGAGTGACTGGAATTTTACATAGTGTTATGAAGGATGTTTCATGTATGTCCACAACAGAAACAAACTGTCAACTCTAAAACACCGTGAAAGAAAATATTTCATAAAATTTATTTTGGAGTAGTTACAACAGTATATCAGAGCAATTACTCTACAGATACACACCATGATACTGAATTCTATCAAGAAATTTCATCAGCAGAAAGAAACAGGGAATTGGAAGAACCTGAATAACAGCTCCGGTGAAATGTTGCAACTGTATAGGAAGTCTTAGAGGCCAAAAAAACTTATAGTCCTTTAGTAGACTACAAAGCATCTTACAGAGTAGAACAATGTATTAATCCCCATTAAAACAAAGTGTGGTGAAGTGAATTGCTTTGTCAATTCCCCCTTCCCTAGCAAGTGAGTCCAGCTGCTTGGCTTCCCTACCTTCTAGTTCGTGACTGTTGGCCCCATTGTCCCAACATCAGAGCAACCAGGTGATGATGTGCTCCCCTGGTTGAGGGGTAAAATCTTTTTGCATATTCTGTAACTTGGTTGAGGTCAGAGGTTGAGAAGTCACCTTTTCTTCTTCCTCTTCTTCTTCTTCTTCATCATGTGATGATAATTCCTGAACAGATGCTGTTCCAGGTAGAAAGTGCATTGCCACTGCTTCTTCATCTTGTTCCTTCATCTTTTGTGTCTTTTTTTTTTTTTTTTGCTTTTCCCCTTCTGTACAGGAGCAATCGATATTGGTACAAATTGGTCCTCTGGTTTAGATGCAGTATCTGTTGTCGGGGTTTGGGTAGCTGCTGTACTTGTCACTGAGGTTTGAGTAGCTACTGTACTTGTGGCTGGGGCTGGTGTAGCTGCTGCACTTGGAGTTGGAATAGTGGTGCTGCCATCAGATCCAGGGACATTTTTTTCCTTTTGAAGGTGCTGGATAGTGTTGAACAGGGCCCTGTAAGCATAGGCCAAGCCCCAGCACATTGCCATGATCTGTCCATCTCTGGTATGACCAGAATGACAACACACCTCATTTAAGTGTTTTACTAATTTTTCTGGATTTTGCACTTGTTCACTGGTGAAATTCCAAAGCACTGGAGGGGTCCACTGACCTAGATACTTGCCCATACTATCTCACACACCCTGCTACCCATAACTGTCCAGCCCTGGGGAAAATCTCCTGGCTCTTCTATATTGTTGTCTAACCCTAGACAAGGCCCAAACCCGACTCTGCTCAGCTCTTGCTATCAGACGAAATGGTCGTGGGTAAAACGCACTCTGTATGTGTGCCGACATGCTGATCCCAATCACAACCAGCGGGCAGGTCTCAAGGGTACCCAAAGGCCATCCAAAACCTTCAGAACTCTCAAATGATACTGTAAACGGTCTTGGGGGGGGTGTGCTGGGAGTGTGAGGGAATGTCTCCTTCACGGGTTGACCACCTGAGGAGGACAAAAAAGATGTGTGATTGTTAAACACTTCTATTATATACCTCCTAAAGTATAGAGGTGGTGACCACACTGGGAACATAAGCCAGATCAGTTTCATGATCAATGATTCTCTTGTATTACAAGTCATTACCATAAAGTACAATGAAACAAGAATCTTAGTCCAGGGCCCCCAGCCAATGAACATTAACACAGCAAATACTGGCTGTAAGTAAGGTACGACATATTGAAACTGTGAGATCAAGAGCAACAACT